AATCTGCTTTTCACAGTACCATTTGTTCTTTCCACCAGCCCTGCACTCTGAGGGTGATAGGCACAGTGGTTTTTCAATGTCATTCCCAAGTGAGTAGCCATGTTTTGTATCACTTGGTTTACAAAATGTGGTCCATTGTCACTATAAACATTCTGTGGAATACCGTGTGTTGGGATATAGTTTTGCAGATAGCCTTAGCTACTGTCAAAGCATCTGCATGCTTTGCTGGAACTATTTCAACCCATTTAGAAAAAGCATCAATCATCATCTAACAGTATTTGTTAACTCAAAAGTTCATAACAAAAAAAATTTTTATGTAAGAATTTAGTAGTTATATAGTATGTAGTTATAGTATTACCTCACCATTTTATGTATGAATTTAGTAGTTATATAGTATGTAGTTATAGTATTACCTCACCATATTACCTCACCATTTTCCCTTTTCCCCCCTTTTTACACATGGCATGGCCCATGTGTCTCAATCACTTAAGCTTCTAATAAAGTCTTTGGGAGGATTAGTAGTTAATGCAGGTGAACTCAGGTTTATAGAAGATATTTTAGCAGACACGTATTTTAATTGCAGGGTTATATTTTGGTTTTTCTTTGTTAAACTCTAAATTAAATTTTTCAGTTAAAAACAACGAAATATTTCATAATATTTCAACACTGCAATATCAATTTTTTTTCAACATGTAGAGATGTTTAATTTAGTTCCAAACTAGTAAATAAAACATTTGAAAATCATTAGCTTAGAATCTCTAATACACTTTTTTTCTTTAATTGGTGTAATTTAGTTGCATAGCTCTATCAGTTTTTCTTTTGTTTAACTTTTAATGATTATAATTTTTCTTGTTGGTAGTTTCCCAACCTATGGCCCGTGGGCCCTAAGAGGGTCACTGGTCCTTCTGTTAAGGACTGAGTTAACGGGTACAAAGTGAATGATTTTGTCTAACATTGTACCTAAAAACCTTTAAAATGTTCTTTTCTGGGTAGATAATTCCTATATGCAAACAGGATTATTAAGCACATTCTTTATCACAGCAGTGTGTGTATAACTTATCTCGTATTTATCCTTTCTGTCTCGTTTCTCGCTTCCCCCTCCTGCTGCTGGCGTCGCTGCAGCTGGTCCTCCCTCCGTCTCTCCTCCAGCTCCCTTTCAGTCCAACTGGCTCTGGTGTTGGATTATTTACAAGTCGTCCAGACCGTCCCTTAGTGAATGTCCAGGTTGTCCATCAATGAATTTAGTTCCAGTCCAAACGTCCAGCAGGACTTCATACAGTAGTTTGCTGCATGGCAGTTCCCAGATGTCCAGGAATCTGGATCAGCGGACATCTTAGTGCCTTCAAGTGGCAGAAATCATCATGTCCTTTTTCGCTTCTTTATCAATTGTCATTGGCTGGTGATCAAAGAGGGACATCATCTGATCGGCAGGACAGGTCTGAGTTGAGGTCGAAGGGCAGACTCACCGCAGCGAGGCTCAGACAGAGGAAAAGGAAAAAAGCAAATAAGAGTCCATTAGGGTTTTTTCGGCTTTCTGTGTCCTTTTTTTTTTTTTTTTCTTTACAAACATTTTCCATATAACTTTTCTCTTGTGATCGTATAGTTTTTAGCCACTTATTACCAAAATTTTTAAGAACTCATAAATCCTTTCCTTATTCAAACACATATAAACATGAAACATGTTAAAAGTTGTAGTCTATATTAACCTTTAAAATGTAAAATGTAAGTTTATGTTAACTTCATCTGAGTCACATTTCACCAGAGAACAATGGATTTCTCTAAATTTGTCGATCTTAGTGCTGCAAACTGTGAGGTCAGCGGGCAGCCCTCCTCTCAAAAAGGCCTAAGAGAGACAAGAGGCTGGATAATGTCCAGGTCGGTACCTTACTCTGACCTCTGACCCCTCCAGTTATACAGCCAAAGGATCATTTCACCAAGTTGGTGTTGTAATCTGATTACGACACAATATATTAAACATTGTTCTCTGAGGAGAATTTTATTATTTAATTTTATTTTTCAGCTTCTCCTCCTTCAGGAAAGTCATAATTCCACCTTTAGCATACAAAGAAGTTGTTCCCATGTTTTATTTCAGTGAGACGTCTCTCAACTGGTTTTTCTTTGAAAGTGTAGGAACACTAAAAAACAAAATAAACAAACAAAATAAAACAAAACAAAACACCAGTATTTCCTAAAAATAATTATTTTTGACTTGTGAGGCTTAAACCTAATTTTTAGTATCAGTAAATATTATTTTGCATGCACTGGTTTCATACCGAAATTCAATTTCTTTATTTATTTTTTACTTAACGTGTAACAAGCTGCACGTGTCCACCATTTCATCAATTTGGTGTGGTGGTGTGACTTTTTGGGGTGTGGTAGAGTCTGATCATGCTGAGGATTTCTCCAGTTTGTGGTCCCCTCACTCCATCACCCCTCCTGTTGCCCCGTGCAGCATTCTTTGAAGGGCAGTTTCTTGACCAGTGACCAGTGTTGTCACAAGTCCAACAGACATCGTTGTCCTTTGGTTTATGACTTAGGGGTCGCTGCTTAGAGTGACCTCCTTTGCCTCTGTTTCTCCCCTGGCCTCTTGAGGACCGCGGAAAACAACAGAGG